CTGGCTTACCATTATAAGCCTACAGAGCCGCTTCCACGACATCATCAGCTGCCTCCTCATCTTCTAGGACTAAACTACTGTGAATAATTAAAATGAAAGTTGTTCTCTGCAATGATATTTCAGGAAATGAAACAAATCAAAGTAATGTTTCACGAAAGATCAATACGTATTTCATGGGCTGTTAAATATTAGCCCGATGGTGAGGTCTAGTGGTTAATGAAGTGGATTGAGAACCACGAGGTCTCACCTCTAAATACTAGCGGAGGCCAAAACATTAGGTTATATCTTCTATGGTAGAAGCAGAAGGTACCCCGTGGAATTAGTCGAGGCACACACAAGCTTGACTCAGACACCACGGTTACAAAAGAAAAAAATATTAGCCCAATTCATGATTCTAGTTCTGCTAAATGATTTTTTACCTAGTTAAACACAAACCTTAATGAATCCTAGACACAACGATAATCCAAACCTTCGTTCATGCTTAGATAAGGTTAAGAAGGATTTCAAATAATTTATTCATTATCCTAAGAACTATCAACCAAAAAAATTGAAACATCAACAACATACCTACTGTTATCCCACACAAGTGGGGTCCAGATGTCTGCAAACGTTACCCCCTACTTTTGTTAGGTAGAGAGGTTGTGCCCGATATTGTGAGGTAGAGAAGTTGTCTCCCATAGACTGTATAACGACGCATTACCGAAACAGGAAAAAAAAAAATTTAAAAAATTGAAGCATTGCTTAGGAAAGATTATACATTGCTCTTTCACTAAACTACTTCACGATTCTTCTGATAGCGACCCAACTCAAACTTAAAAGTCAATTTTCTCCATATTTTTTCTCTTTTCCTTACAAAATACTTACCGGCAGCCCATTGATGCTTCAAGGAAATACTCGAAATTACGACAAAAAACGAGTGATTCCACTGTAAAAATTCACATTTAGCACTACAATGAACAACGATACTGCAACCGATTTAAGCAGGAATAGAGCAATTTATCCGTTACTTGGTGTAAAAGTAAACGCAAAATTTTCAAATACAGTTGGAGAATCTACAATGCACCTATCGATTTCTTAGCAAGTTCAAAGTAATGCACATATATTTACTATTGTCTGTGTTAGAGTCTAGAGATAAAAAGAAGGGTACCGTACTGAAGCAACTTCGCCGGAAAAATCTCGCCGACGATCTTTGAATTTACGTATTTATATAATGGATTAATTTGTTGGAAGAGGAGAATTGGGAAAGTTGTCTTGGTGGCGAAGGATGGTCAATCACTTTTTGACTTATGTAATATGCCATAAATAAAAATTAAGTAAAAAGTTATAATTCATCGACCCTAATATATTTTTATTATGTTTGATTATTTCTTTTCTAAAGAATCTCTCAATAATATTAAGATTGAATGTACATAAATATAGTTTTAAAAGTGAAACGTAAATAGAGAAATACGCTAGTCCCTCTGTTTATTTTTAATTGTCATGATTTGTTTTTTTAGAGTCAAACTATAAGAATTTTAAATAGCATTTTACGATGTATTTTTTCATTATATTGACATGTAAAATTGCAATTTATAGTATTATTTGTATAATTTTTGAATTTTTTTTTTGTTTAAAATATTAAATTAATGTAATCTAATTTACTTTGAAAATTAGTAAAATTGACTTTTGAAAAGCAGAACATAACAATTAAAATGGACGGAGGGAGCAATTTACATTTAATTTGTAGAGAAATCCCAAAATGCTCCTTGACTTTCGGGCTTAAATATGATCACACCATTAGTGTATTGTGTCCATTTAAGAAAACATTTGCTTATTTCTCTGAGAGGTAAATGTAGTCAAGGGAAAACTTGTCCTTTATCATTGATAATCCCACAAGTGGCGTTTGGAAAGGAAAATGTGTATGCAGGCCTTATTCCTGCAACATAGAGAGACTGTCTCTGATAAACTGTTTGTGATTCAATTTTTCATTTTCAAGAAAGTGAGCAACTGTAAGATGCAAGACAAACTTGATACCAAGTTGTCACAAGTTTTGTGTATCTTACTTTTTCCACATGCTAATATATTTCGTAGCGCCTAGAGTTTTTCACTCTCATCATCAAGGAGGAAACTTTGTTCATCCAGAGTGAATGCCTCCCAAAAAGTAGAAAAAATGCGCATAACACAAGCTAACATTCTACCAGTGAATGTAATAGAAAGTATGCTTGATTGTAAGGTAGGACAATCAAGCATAAATTCTCACTTAATTTAATGCATGTATTATTTGGTACCATATACCATAAGCATCAATTATATTTCTCCTGCGATAAACTAAACATTGCATTAGTTACGTGTGAAATAATTTTTAGAACTCTTCCGGCAAAACATTGTACAATTTGATGCCGGAATTTATTTTCCCCATTCTCTCCAATTAAACCACAACTTAAGGTTTACATTAATAGACTCGTGAACATTTCACATTGGTGAACTTACACACAGTAAAATTTTATATGAACTTCCTTATTAACCGTTTAGACTAAATTTAAACCCATACAAACATGGCCCATCCAACTTGTTGAAGTGAACGCCTATTTATGGAGTGGTGGCAAGTAGTTATTCCAAAACCTGCTTTGGGGGGTTAAATCATACATTATCAAGGCACCAACACACGCATCTAAAAAATGCAGTCATGCAGCAACCTGATTTCTAGTAAATTAAACAGTTAATTGCGTTATAAACAGTTCACTGAATTCACATAGCTTGAATGCAAAATGAGCAAAATACTCTCCAGGAGTGTCATTTTAAGTAAAATAGAGATAGAGATTGACCTAAAATGCTCAATATCTCAAGTTAAGTCAAACCTGTCAAAAATTACTTCCCATTCATACCATGTAAATTTCAAAGCCTGGCTTGATGCGTGACCATTCCTTGCCTGAAGCACGAGTGACCAGAGAAAACCCTGTCATTGACGTTGCTAACAGCTGTTAAGGGGTTCTACTGGTTTAAAGAAATCCTTCCTTTGCAGGGTCCAAGTATCAAAAAGGTACAAACAGGCAACACAAACAACTTCGCAAAGCTGACATTCATATTTTACCTACTAAGTTAAGCCTAGGCATCATATATTTACCCAAAAGATGTGAAATTCAAGTACACTACAACCTGACCTTAAACAATTACCATTACATTCACAACACTGAACTAACTACATATGGGCATCTCTCTATCTCTAACTATGGAGAGAGACACATGGAACGAACAACATTTCTTGACAATTGGCATAATTGGCCTACATGCAAAATGGACTGCATATATTGAATTCGAGGTAGCAATTTAGAGACGATTCTTTTTGCAATTATCTCTTTATGTGGCTCTATTTCTGCTGCTGCTAGTGCCAGTACATAATTAGCAACAAAACTCCAAGGGATGTGGAGCTAGTGGATTGATGACGAGAATGTGGAAAAAATATTAACTAAATCAATGATCATAGTGAAAGACATTGTACCCTATCAGGAAGATTTTGAGGCATTGGGAGCACATACGTATCTTTGCAGAAAAGGTTTATGGCTACGTGCAGCAGCATCTGTTGAAGATGACTCAACACCACTGGATTGCCCCCCGACCATGAAACTTTCAAATCGATAGAAGACTGAGAACTTCTCCAGATCTTGTCCTTCCACTATCATGTCTAATAGTGGTTCTTGTCCAAACTGCACCATAGTGGCAGCAAAATCAGAACCATGTGAATTGACAAGTGTCCTAGTCAGTAACACATCAAAGATAAAATGAACTACTTATATTAATAGGAAGCATTTATGGAAGCAGATATAAGGACAATGGCAGAGTTACTGATTAAAAAAAATAGTAGTGTTGAATTTCTCAGAACAGACTAAATAACTTCATGCACATGCTGTGATTGAAGAAGTGCAGGGCAAGCAAATATGCACTCTCAGGAAGATTTCATCTAAATTAGCACTATTTCTTCATTTCATGAAATGGGAAATAGCAGTACTGATGATAAAAAGACCTGTTAGAAATTGGCATAATTTAACAACGGCTCTCTCAATTGAATTGAAGTATTTGAGACTTTTTACATTGAAATAATAGTGAATTCAAATATTAATACTTTGATATTTTACCAATACCCACTTATATATGTATTGTTTTTTTTTTTCATAATCATTCGATGAAAAAAGTAATACTACCTCCATTTCAAAATAAGTGAATGGTGGAGCCTTTTTTCTTAGTTCAAAATAAGTGACTTGTTCAAAGTTCAAGAGAGTTGTTGGAATTTTTTACCATTTTTGCCACTCAGTTACATCCTCTAGGTGATAAATTCAAGAGAGTTGACTGCTCATATTTATGATTTTACTTTGAATTATTTCAAGAATAGTTTGAAAATAACCAAAAGAGCAAAAGTGGAAAGTGGTATTTATTTTACGGACTATACTTTTTTTCTTAATGGGTGTACATTGTACAACAATTCACTTATTTTGAATTGGAAGGAGTAATATTAAGACAAGCCTACTTATTTTTTTCCCATTTTATTATATCAAAGTCAAATGAATTTTAGTTTTTTAAAAAAAAATTCACTATGCAAGTATTATGATGCTTTAGTTGACTTCCTCACTCTCTTTTTTATTTTATTTAGTAAACATCTCTATTTACTCAAGACTACAGAGTAACAAATCACTAAATTTCGACTAATCCTACTTTTCTCATTTAACTACAAGACAAATGAAGTAATTAACTCTCCAATTCTTTTAGCAAAATAAAATTGATGCAGATTTGCTTACTTACAACTTATATAAGCACTTAAATGCAAATACTAATTAATTGGGAAGAATGGCAAGTAATTTAATTTATTTAATTAATTTTCCAAAAATAAACTCCATGGTATCCAATTAAAATATTTATTCTCATTAATGTAATTTCCTTTTTTTCTAAGGGACTTCATTTTAGTTCCATTTTAAGAGAATATTATGGCTATAAATTGTATGTCCAAAGCAAAACTATTATAAAAAGCAAATCAACCAGCGAGTTGAAACTAGTTTAGAGAAAAAAAAATTGTTTTAGCTAAAATGGCCAAACACCAAAGTTTCTTCATTTTGTTTATCACATTTGTTGCTATTTTTTTAGCAGTAACATATGAAAGTAAAGAGGTTGAAGGAAATTTGGATGCCCAGGGATGGAAAAATGCACGTGCTACATTTTATGGTGACATGGGGGGTAATGAAACCATGCGTAAGTTTTCCTTGTACCTTAATTCCTTATGTATGTTGTTGAGACACTTATCGAGTGTCGAGACTCGAGACAAAGAAGGTAGAAATTATATTTTTTGAAAAAATATTTGAGATTGAGAATATATATATATATATATATATATATATATATGTTACAACGTGATGTTGAGATATGTTGCAACATATAGACCAGAAATGAATTTTCCATCAGATTTCACCTACTGTAGGCCTCATCTATCCAGATTTAGGATCGACAATCTAAGTAAGCTCACACTAACAGAAGTAAATTATTTTATTTTCATTTACTTTTTCTTTTTCTTTTCTACACCCATCATTCTAATATAAATAAATTTCTAGCACTTTTTTTATGGTCCAAAATGAATAAAATTTTCAAAGGCCAAAGATGTTTTTTTTTCATAACGTGTGAGTCGAGGGTCCTTTGGAAATAATCTCTCTACCATCACGAGATAAGGTAAGGTCTACATCCACTCTACCCACCCGGAAACTCACTTGTGGGATTCCATTGGGTATGTTGTTGTTGTTGATGATGCTTTTTCATAACATAGATATTAACGTTTGTAACAAATTTATTTGAATACTATATTGCAGAAGGAGCTTGTGGTTATGGAGACTTATTCAAGCAAGGGTATGGCCTGGAAACAGCGGCACTAAGCACAGCACTCTTTAACAACGGATCTACCTGTGGAGCTTGCTTTCAAATAAAGTGTGTCAATGCTCCTAAAGCATGCCATCCAGACCAAGTCATAACTATAACTGCCACCAATTTCTGCCCTCCAAATTACACAAAAACTACAGACGTTTGGTGCAATCCTCCACAACAACACTTTGATCTGTCATTGCCTATGTTCTTAAAGATTGCCGAGTACAAAGCAGGGGTTGTCCCTGTTGTTTACAGAAGAGTCACTTGCCACAAAAAAGGAGGTCTCAAGTTTGAGATCAAAGGGAATTCTAATTGGATTCTTGTTCTTGTTTTCAATGTGGGAGGTGTTGGAGATGTTGTCAGTGTCAAAATTAAAGGATCTAAGACTGGATGGACACAGATGTTGCGGAATTGGGGACAAAATTGGCAGATTTCTCAGCAGTTGGCAGGACAAAGCTTGTCTTTCCAAGTACAAACTAGCGATGGCAAATGGGTTCAATCTGATAATGTTGCTCCTGCTAACTGGCGATTTGGTCAGACATTTGAAGCGAAGAATAATTTTTAGCAATTGTATTTTGGAAAATGAGTAGTTTTTAATAAATATAATTTATGATCTTTTCTAGAAGTTTTTTTGTTTTCGAATAAATTCTCTATTTTTGAGTGGACTTTGAGCAAGGAAGGAACATAAGAAGAAGCCAAAGGTGTGGTCTAGCGGTAAATGAAGCACGAGAACAATATTCACATCATCTTGGTATGACAGAGAAATAGGAAAACTACTTTTCTGTCTCTAACTATATCATCTATGGATCTTCATATAACCTTAGTCACTTAGTAAATACGAACTCATAATATTCAGCCACTTGAAATTTCAATCTATTTGAGCTTTCCTAATACTTCAAAATAGCAGCTTTAGACTAGGCTAATTATTCAGAACTGAGGTAAAAACAAGCAGCAAAACACAAAAAGAAACATCACAGACCGTTTTTATTCTGAATTAGAGATAAACGTCACCTCTTATTGCCAAATGCTTGAGCATGACTTCTGACAATAATAACCATCAGAGCACCAATTCCAGCAGCCATCCCAGCGCCAAAGCAGAAAGAAGGCATGTGAACAATTGATCTTTCTTTGTTTTGCATCATTTCCCAATGCAATTGAACATCATCTCCGTGCCACAAGCTCATGTGTAGCCAGTGTCATTTTCAGATCAGAATCAAGTGGTGTGCTAAGAACTTGCAAACACACTGGACAAGTAGCTTTCAAAGTTATTCCATTATAGCGACTCTTCCAGCAACTGCCATCGCCTTATCCCACAATTACAAGATTTGCTAATAAGCATGACTTAGTGGAAGGTCAAATTTCAATTAAAGTAACCGGCTTTACCATTATAAGCGTACAGAACCGCTGCCACGACATCATCAGCTGCCTCCTCATCTTCTAGGACTGGCAACTGTGAATAATCAAAATGAAAGTAGTTCTCAGCAATGATATTTCAGGAAAAGAAATAAATCAAAGTAAAGTATCACGAAAGATCAATACGTGTTTCCTGGGCTATTAACTATTAGCCCGATAGTGAGATCTAGTGGTTAATAAAGTGGATTGAGAACCACAAGTTCTCACATCTAAATACTAGCGGAGGCGAAAACATTAGGCTCTATCTTCTATGGTAGAAGCATAAGGTATCCTGTGGAATTAGTCAAGGTGTGCACAAGCTTGGCCTGGGACACCACCGTTATAGAAGAAAACAATATTAGCCTGATTCTAGTTCTGATAAATGAATTTTTACCTGGTTAAACATAAATCTCAGAGAATCCTTAACGGAATGATTATCTAAACCTATGTTTCACACTTAAATATTAGGCTCTATCTTCTATGGTAGAAGCATAAGGTATCCTGTGGAATTAGTCGAGGTGTGCACAAGCTTAGCCTGGGACACCACCGTTATAGAAGAAAACAATATTAGCCTGATCCTAGTTCTGATAAATGAAAATTTACCTGGTTAAACACAAATCTCGGAGAATCCTCAACGGAATGATTATCTAAACCTATGTTTCACACTTAAATAAGGTTAATAAGGATTTCAAGTAATTTATTCATCATCCTAATAAATATCAACCAAAAAAACTGAAACAATTACAATATACCCCGTGTAATTCTACAATCACAAGTGGGTCTGGAAAGGTAGGATATACGCAAACCTTACCCTTACAGCCTACCTTTGCGAGGTAAAGATGTTTCTAATAGACCCTCGACACAACAAGGCATTATCAAAACAGGCCAAAAAATAAAATAAAAATTGAAGCATTGATCGAGTTAAATGAAACTAAGGATTATTATACATTGCTTCTTTCACTAAACAATTTCGTGATTCTTCTAATAGCAACCCAACTCAAACTTAAAAGTCAATTTTCTCCATATTTTTCTCTTTTTCCTTACAAAATTCTTACAGGCCCATGCTTCAAATTCAATGAACTACACTATATTAAGCCAAAACGAGCGAATCAACCATAAAAACCCACAGTAGCACTACATTGAGCAACAGTACTGCAACCGATTTAAGCAGGAATAAAGCAATTTCTCCGTTGTTTTATGTAAAAATAAAGGCAAAATTTTCTAATCAGCTAGAGAATCTACAATAAACCAATATATTCACTATTGTGTGTGTTAAAGATAAAAAGAAGAGTACCGTGCTGAAGCAACTTCGCCGGAAAAATCTCGCCGACGATCTTTGAATTTACTGTATTTGTATAAATGAAAAGTAATTTGTTGGAAAAGGAGATTTGGGAAAGTTGTCTTGGTGGCGATGGTCAATCACTTTTTGACTTATGTAATACGCCATAAATAAATAAAAATAAGTAAAGAAGGTTATAAATTTATCCACCCTAAAATAGTTTTATGTTTGATTACTTCTTTTAAAAGAATCGTTGGAATAATGTTTATAATTGAATGTACATAAGTACAATTTTAAAGTAAAAACTAAAAAGTGATTAGAGTTTACGTTATAAGCTATTTTTCAAATGTAAATTTTAAATTAATGATTTAAATTTTCATATTAAACATTTCAAATAAAGTGAAAAACAAAAAGATTAAAAAAAATTATAGCCTAACGGATCCAATTATTTAGTTCGCAAAAGACTTCTCTAAAACACAACTCCCAACTTACCATTCATTTTAGGGAAAATTATATATAATAGCAAACTATTAATTCAAATCAAATGCTATAAATATACTTTGATTCAATTGTACCCTATAGCAAACTATTGTTATTTTCGCCACTTTCCCTGGTGGAATCTCGCTCGCTACTCTCGTATGATGGCAGTCTCGCTCGCCTCTCTCGCTTTTATACAAACACAAATGTATAAAATGCGTTTGTGTGTGTATAAAGCGAGAGGAAATTGTATATATACATATATTTTCGTTCCCCTCTCCCAGATCTCGCTCGCCACTCTCCCAAATCTCGCTCGCCACCCTCGCCTCTCTCGCTTATACAAACAGAAACGAAATGTATAAATTGCGCTTTTGTTTGTATAAAGCGAGAGAAAATTGTATATACACATGCAAATACATATATCTTTGTCCTATACACTTATAATTATACAATACAAATATTTTCCTACCCAATTTTCTTTTGCCTTTCTCGCTTTCTCATTTTATACATACACAAATTATACAATTAATCTTTTGTATACAATTGCTTTCTTTTGTATATGTATAGCGAATTATACAACTATTTTCTTTGTATATGTGTAGCGAATTATACAACTATTTTTTTTGTATATGTGTAGCGAATTATACAACTGTTTTTTTGTATATGTATAGCGAATTATACATATATATATTTGTTATGGGGCGCAATTATGCAAATTTTGCTATAGCATACAAATATGAATTTTGTGTTTGCTATATATGAAAGTTACTCTAAATTTTATACATGTCTTTTGACATACCAAAATACTTGTAACCTTTTTTTTAAAAAAAATAAAAATTATTATTTTAATTCAAACGAAATCCAGAAAGGGACTAATGAAAGATTCGAGGGGCAATATAACAACAAAGAACTAGCCTCTTAGTAAAGGTCCATTTGGATTGACTTAAAAAGTAATTTTTAAATCAAAAATAAAAAGTCAAATTAAAATGACTTTTAAGTCAAAAAATAAAAAGTCAAATTAAAATGACTTTTAAGTCAAAAAATAGAAAGTAGAGGAAGATCTACTTTTGATTTTTGACTTATTTTTAAGTCATTCTTGACCTTGCCAAACACTTCTCAACTTATTTTAAGTCATTTTTTATTTATTTTAAGTTATGTTTTATATTTATCAAACACTTCCAGAAGTCAAAATCTGACTTAAAAGTAGGTTTGACCAACTTTTAAGCCAATCCAAACACCCTCTAAATGAGGCTTAAATAAGATTGCATCATTAGTGAAAACATGTCCTTAAAAGGTGAAAATGCCATATCCCATATATAATCCCACAAGTAAAGTTTGAAGTGGGTAATGTATATGCAAACCTTATTCATGCAAGGTAGAGAAATTAATTTCAATAAACTGTTTTTAGTTCAATTTTTCATTTTCAAGGGAGTGAGCAATTGTAAAATACAAAACAAACTTCATACCAAGTTGTCACAAGTTTTGCGTGTCTTCCTTTGTCCACATGCTAATAATATATTTCGTCGCGCCTACAATCTTACAGAGAAGGAAACTCCGTAATAAAATTTTGCTTCTGAATGTAGTAGAAAGTATGCTTGAACATCATAATTGATCGAGAATCCGATATGAAATGACTCCAGTCAACAATTCAAAAGTACGACAAAGATCAACGAAGTCGATTTAGCACCTCAATAATCACATCATGGGTTAAAATGCCTCGAGGGATTGTTACCCAGCAAAATAATTCATAAATTCTGACTTAATTTCATCTGGTACCATAGACCATAAGCAACAATTATATTTCTCCTGCGATAAACTATACATTGTGCAACTAACATTGCATTAGTTACGCATGTACTAATTTTTCAAACTCTTCCTGCAAAACATTGTGCTATTTGATGCTGGATTTAAGCCAATTATTTAAACACACACTCTGCAATTAACCAACTTAGAGTAAAATTTTAAACAAACTTCCTTATTAACCGTTTAAAACAAAAATTTAAACCATACACATGGCCCGTCCAACTTGTTTAAGTGACCCGCCCATTTAAACCCAGCCATTTAAAAATGGACTGGTGCCAAGTAGTTATCCCAAAACCTGCTATTTGGGCGATGAATCATTCCATTACTAAGGCACCAACACACGCATCTAAAAAAAATGTCGTCATGCAGCAACCTGATTTCTGGTAAATCAAACAGTTAATAACATTATGAACAGTTCACGTTAAGTAAAATGGAGATAGAGATTGAGATGAGCAAAATACTCTCCAGGAGTGTCATTTTAAGTAAAATGGAGATAGAGATTGACCTAAAATGCTCGATATCTCAAGTCCTTTTATACGCCTTTGGCGTTCTGTAAGCAACCACGCACAACAAAATGTTAAGTCAAACGTGTCAAAAATCTCTTCCCATTCATA